AGAGAGAGAGAGAGAGAGAGAGAGAGAGAGAGAGAGAGAGAGAGAAAGAGAGAGAGAGTGAGAGAGGCAAAGAGAGAAGAGTGCGAAACGGCGTGTGCAGTAAAAAGCGCAACTGCGAAGAACGGACCTATTGCTACGTTTGTTTACGAAGGGCGAATCGCAAGATGTCGTATATCAAAAATATCTCGCGTCGCGCCGCGCCGCACGTAAAAAGAGCACGGCGCGGGTTCGCGTTGCGGATTCGCGGGATGCGCGCCTCGTTCGCGTCGCCCCTCGGTACGTCCCTGATCTTCCACCCACCCATCCAGCGGCAGGGTCACCGCATGCACCCACACCTTCTCGCGCAGGCTCACACATATACACGCGTGCCCACCTCTCTTTTCCTCTCTCCCGCTCATCTCTGGCTCGTGTTCGTTCGCTCACTCGCTCTCACCATCGCAACACACCCTCGCGCGCGCTCGTGGTCGCTCGCGGATTGTACACATCGCGCGGTACGCGCGTGCACACGCACACACAGGTGCGCGATCCCGCGTTCGTCGCGTATGTACGCGGATAGGTACATGCTCACGCACACGCGCGCGCGCGCCACGTCGAGCACACTATGGCGGCGGCCGTGCATCCAGGCGGCGGAATATAGGCGGACTGCCTGCCTGCCGGACGGACGGCGCGGTGGAAGTCGGGCCGTTCCAGGTCGAAGCGACACGGCGATGACTGCGATCGATAATTTGAATCGATTAATAATAAGAGCGAGGCGCGGGAAAGAGCGGCGCCCGCGAGCGAGCGAGCGAGAGGAAGGAAGGGAGAGAGAGAGAAGCAGAGCGCGAGCGAGCGGAAGAGAGAGATCGATCGACCGTTCTCTGGACCGCCCGCGATATTGGTCCCCGTGGCCTTTCTTGCTTTTTCCTCTCTTTTTCATTCGCGGAGCGGGCACGTATGTACCGCGGACACACGGTTTATTTTGGTTACACGAGGTACCGGCGGCGTGTCCCGCGGAACGGAATCGGAAATCAACTTTCGGGGGAATAATAATTTAGAAGCGCGCGTCCGAAATCGATCGCGCGCGAGATCCACGACGAGCGGACGTCGCCGCGCAGCGTCGCGACGCCGTCGATGCGGCCCGCGCCGGCCGCGACGACTACGACGAGGACGGCGACGACGACGACGCGGGGTATTAATTGTTTATCGATGCTGCCGGGATTATATCGCGGCTAGGACGGGGAAAAATGCAGGTTCTATTTAGAACCGTCTCCGTCCTGTATCGTAGTCTATATCGATGCTATTCGTTTGTCCGGTTTGTCCCAGTTGCAGTTTCCGCGCTCCTTTTTCGTCTTTTCTCCCTTCTCATTATTTAACTCTTTCTTCTCACGGGCGTGATGATAACGACGGCGACGTTTCGCTCGGCCCTTTAACCCGATTGCGTATGTAAATGCGATAATTAAAGACGACGATCGAATGGACACGAGTTTGAAATTTGCGAATCTCGACGAGACCATGGCTGAATGCGAGGAAACACGTTGCACACTGCGTTTCGTTACGAAATAGGTCTCGCAGCGACACACGAAACGGGCGATCGTGATTTCCGGATGACTTTGAGTACTGACACTCGCGACATCGTCGATGTGATCTCGCGGCCTTGGAATACATTGACCCCGCGGGGTATTTTCAGTAACTGCGGTTAAGAATGCAACGTCTGAATTCAAACGCGACGAAGCGCCGCTACAATATTTACGAGCTTCTTTACATTAAACACCACTGGCGATGCATACCTCCCGTGAACTTTCCGCCCGCCGATAACCATGCGTAACTTTACGTATTGCACACATAAGCGGGTCGAACGTGTAACTGAAGGCTCTCGCAACATCACGCAGCGGCGCAGACAACGTTGGTAACGCGCGTACATTTCGGAGGGCATGGTAAGCCGTATTTATGGCCACGCTACTGTCGACGCCGTCAGTAGATTACGGAACCTAATGCAAAACGTATCGACGGCGTCTTTACCCGACTACGATGACGACGACGACGACGACGACGAAGACGCAGACGAAGAAGAAGACGGGGATGCTCAAGAGGCTTACTCGCGCGCGCTCATCGAATCTAAAAAAAGATCGTACCTACGTAAATATGAACGGCGAGTCTCCTTGTCACATCTTCAAGAATTCACCATTGCGACATGCCCGCAAATACAATCTCGCCGTTGCGCTAATTTGCATAATGTCCTCGGGTCACCATAGGTGGAAAAGGACGTACGCCCCCGTTGTAAATTCGGCCGTGGCCGGTACTCGTGGCCGCTACGCGGAGGAGAGCGCAACCGTTATACGTCTCCGCGGTGTGCCTTATCGCCGACGTGGCCACAGCCGCAGGTCGGCTGGCTGGCCGGCCGGTTGGTTGGTTGGTTGGTCGGTCGGTCGGTCGGTCGGTCGGTTGGTCGGTCGGTGGGGTAACGATCGCGAGCGGTATCGGGATCGATCTATCTCAATCGATCGTCGGGGCGCGTGCCTCGATTTACCATCGATTGCGGGCGATCGATTAGCTCTGTCGAGCTTCGTTAGACATCCTTGGACGCGGCAGGCTGGACAAGGACAGCCAAAGTAGAGAGTACACGGACGAAGGATGGAAAGAAAGAGCGAGCGAGTGAGCGAGAAAGGTGAAGAAACAGAGAGAGAGAGAGAGAGAGAGAGAGAGAGAGAGAGAGAGAGAGAGAGAGATCGTCGGAGAAAGAAGAAGCGCGACAAAAGCGAGAGAAAGACGGGAAGAAAGGGAGCGAGCGAGGGTGGTGGGTGTGGGAGGCGGGTGAGCGTGACTGACGAGGGGTGAGAGACGAAAGGGTGAGGAGAGAAAGAGCAGGACGAAACGATCGTGACGGAAAAGGAAAGAAAATGAGCGACAGAGGGAGAGAGAAAGAGGAAGAGTGAAAGTGCGCGGGTGCGTGGAGGAGAGAGAAGGAGGAAGAAATAGAGAAGTACGTTTATCGAGGAAGAGCGAGAAGGAAAGGAAAAGGAAAGGAGTGTGAGGGTCGAGGGAGCGAGTCAGCCGGACGTTGTGTGTGTGTGTGTGTGTGTGTGAGAGAAAGAGAAACACAGAGCAATAGAATGAGAGAGACAAAGAACGTGAGTAGGACGAAGATGGCTACGTGGAGAACGCGAACTAGACAGAGACCGACGAAGCCGGACCAGCCACAGCCGCCGCCGTCGCCGCCGCCAGCGCCGATGCTGCTGCCGCCGCCGTCGTCGTGAGGCTTCGAACCCGAGCGTGGTCGAAAGTAGCCGAACAGCGGCGGAAACGTACGAGCAGCGCGGTTCGAGCGGCCGAGCGAGCGATACGGCCGAGCAGTGCGGTGCCGACTCTTGCTGCCGCGGTTGCAGATCCCACGGTGTGTGTGTGCGCGCGCGTGTTTACACGACCGAGAAAGAGAGAGAGAGGGCGAGTTCGCGCCGTGGAGGCGAGGGCAGGAGAGATCGACAAAGACGGACATACACAGGCAAAGAGAAAGAGAGAGAGAGAGAGAGGACCGAGCACAGCACGGCGAGGAAAGAATTCGCAAGAAGCGAGAGAAAGCGAGAAGGCGAAACACAAAAAAAACGTCGAATCATCCGCGAGTAGCACACGGCGCGCGCAGTGCACGCGTGTTTTCGTTTGTCGGACACTCACGTCCTCGATGTAGAAGGATCGCGCAACACCGTGAGTAATACGCACGAAACACGTAACATTCGCGAGGTAACGTCACGGCGTTATCAAAGCGACGGCGGCGGCGGCGGCGGCGGCAGCAGCAGCAGCCAGCCAACCAGCCAACCAACCAACCAGCCGGTCGAACACAGGACGGGCGAGACGCGCAGTGAGAGCGTCGCGTGACGTCCGACGTGCTCGCGCGGCGCGACCGGCACGCACACGCCGCGAAAAGCGCGAACGATAACGCGCCTGCCACCCTCACACGCCGCCGGGTGCTTTTAACGGGGCGTGGGTGCACATCACACCGCACCGCACCGCACCACACCGTACTGCATCGCGTCTCACCGCACCGCACCGCACCGCACCGCACTGTACCGCACCGGCGACGGTGCGGCGGGACGGCGGGTGGTGCGCGTAATTCAAAAGGTGCGCGCGGCGGCGAGAACATGACTCGCGACGCGGAGTGCGCGAATTCGAGGCGACACTGTGTCGTGGGCGAAAGGACGATAATATAAGCGCAACAATATAGTAGTGACGAGGAGTTTGCGAGGTAGCGCGAGGAAGGAGATATAGATAGTTAAATAAATAGATAGACAAATAGATAGATAGAGGAGGGAGGGGGAGAGAGAGAGAGAGAGAGAGAGAGAGAGAGAGAGAGAGAGAGAGAGACAGTCTGAGAGAAGACGCGGGGGCGAAAGAAACTCCTTAAAAAAAAAGAAAGTTCCCAAAGCGAGATAGCCACGGCCAGTGATCCCGTGTGCGGCTCTCGCGTGTTGCGCGCGCGAGAGCGCGTCCGCGCCTCCCGGTGAGAGTGTGTACGAGAGAGTGTGTGAGAGAGCCAAGCAAGCGAGTGGACTCCGGCGAAGAGAAGAGAAGAGAGACTTTCGCGGCGACGGCCGACGAGGAGACGACGACGAGGAGCGAGCAGCGGCTTCCGGCCTGTCGGCGCGGAGGCGGCACACCAACCGAACAGTTCCATCGAGAGAGGATGCTCGTAACGTCAATGACGGTCCTTAGGGTGAGGGCAACGATGACGACATCGCGAGGTCTCGACTGAGTCGAGTCCTCGGCTTCGTCGAGGAGGAGGCGGAGGAGAAGGCGGAGGAGGTGGACGAAGTAGACAAGCGAAGTCTTTTTCCGCGGGCGGATTGCCGCGTCGTCGACGGCGACCGACTCGCTGCGTCGGTCCCGTCGCCGCGACGGTAGCATCGACGAGAGAGCGAGAAAGAGAGCGTGCCGCCCGCTACGTTGGTGGCGCGATCGTTAGCCAGGTGTTGCTCCTCGACGTCGGTGCTCGCGAGGTTCGCGACGAGCCGGTTTGCCGACGGCGAGTCTCGAGTCGGTTTGCCGTCGGTGAGCCGCGGCGCAAGAGAACGCGACAAGCCGACGGCACTTGTCGTCCCGCTGTCTGAGAGAGAGCTCGTGGGAGGTCCATCAGAGAGTCTTTTGCAGCGACGATCTCGAGGCGACCCGTGTACGCGCGACACACGAAAGAAAACACGCCGATGGTCGTTCCCTGAGCGCGATCGTCGCTCAATAGCGCGCTTCGTGATTGTCCACGCTCCCGACCGACGGCGAAGGACACACTTCATCAGTGACTGCTCGCTGAGTTACTCGAGCAACGTCACGTTTCCGTGTGACCGTTTGCGATTCACGGATTTATCGCACACTACGGAAACCCCGGTGATAACATCGTCTCCTCGAAGGATCCTGCCACCGCCGCCGCCGCCGCCGTCGTCGTCGTCGTCGTCGTTGTCGTCGTCGTCGTCGTCGTCGTCGTCGTATCGATCCTCGGCCGTAACTAAACCGTGGAACGCGCGTAACGGAGACGCGCGAGGGGCTTTTGTCCTCGGAGGATCGGTATCCACGCTCGGCGGATCACCCGGAGCCAGAGTCGTCGCCCTGCCCAAGGCCGTCCCTATTATCGGCGGCGGCGGCGGTGACGACGGGGGAGAGGACGAAGAACAAGAAGTACAACAACAAGCGCTAGCGCCAAAGTAGTGCCTCTCTCGCGGCCAGGACGGAGATAGCTGGTGACGTCACGGTGACGCCGGCCGACTTCCGTAGGCGAGAACGCGACGCCAGCCGCCGAGATGCAGGTAGCAACGCTGTTCAGGGAGAGCGCTACCCTGCTGGGTGCCTCCAGCTTGGACCCCCCGCAGACCCACCACCACCAGAGTATGCACCAACCGCAGCAGCAGCAGCAGCAGCAGCAGCAGCAACAGCAGCAGCAGCAGCAACATCAGCAGCATCAGCAGATGCAGCAGCATGCCACCGATATGCACCTAGTCGGCCACCACATGCAGCACCATTACAAAATGTAAGTCTCGATATTCCCGCTCTGTTCTTCCGCTCTCTCGAGCAAGTCGCATAACTCGCTCGAAAGCGCGCGTAGCTGCGTGTGTTTGCTTGCGTGTAAAGAACCTTCGAGTCAACGGAGGATCGCTTTGACGAAGGAGCGCACACGTGCGATCACCAAGATCGCGAATACGGCGCGACAGTCCAAGCTATCGCGCGAAGATCCCGAAGACAGTAAAGGACCCGGAGTCGAAGACTCCGCGAGCGATGTTTTCTCATAGATGCTTTCATCTGCGATACTGTCTCGTTGTAACCAATTCTTACGGTTTGATTTTTCTTGTTCTGCGTAGGGTCAGGCCGAGTCAAACTGAGAATTGAGTAAGCTAGACTGACTCGATTCTTTGGCGAGGAGTTTTGTTTGAAATACCGAACGGGAGTTAGAAGAGCTCAAGTCGAACGAACGGCTTCGAACGATATGATATTGAGAGAGAGAGAGAGAGAGAGAGCAAATGTGTGCGAATCAACTGAAATGTCGTGCAACGTTGCGTGCAACGTGTGCACAGCCTGAGCTAAAGCCCCCGAGAGCCTCGGCTGCGAGCATCATTGGATCCTATCGCGAAGGGTGTCCCCGGCAGCGCGCGAGCACTTGCCGCTGCAGCCACCCGAATGACTAATAAATTGAACTTCGATAAACCACGACAGACCATTAGGTGTCCCTCTCTCAAAGAAACCAGTTTAGCCGCCACGGCTGCATCTCACAACAGCTCCTTCCGCCGTTCCTCTTTCCGCGTGAGCCGCTCGATTATGCGATTGCGATCGGCCAGTCGGATCCAGCGGGATGCCGAAGCCACCGGAACACGACCGCGGCTATTTTCGGACCGCAGCAGGAGAAAAAAAATAGAAAAATGAAAACAAATGATGTAATAATGAAGGCTTGCGCGCGCGGCGTTTTACGCGATTGGTTATTTTATCGATGTTGTAGAAATCGGAGACCAGAGTTCGGTCGCTTTTTATCGATATGACGCCTGAACAGAGATACATTTTTCTTTTTTCACCGTGTAGATATTGTCTAAACACGCCTAGCTCTTGCATCAATACGATGGCCAACGAGCGGTAAACCCGGTATATATCACACATACACACACACACACACACACACACGCATGTACTCGCGCACGCTAAAACTAAGCGGCGAGTGTTATTTGCCGGACACTAGAAGCCGCGGTAGAGCCCACTCTCGCTGAAAGAAGCGGCGGCCTTGGCCGCTTCTTGCACAGCACCGGCCTTCGAGCCGCGCGCGGGGCCCTATCTGTCGTGTCGCGGTGCACACGCTTCACACACGCCGTGTGTGCGCGCATGCACACCGTGCTCGCGTTGCATTCCTCGATAAGATCCCGGTCGCCGCGAAAATGATTAGTCGCGATGATAGTAGGGCGCCGAAGGGCGATGTTATCGTCGTGTGAGCGTGGATATCGCTTCTTATCGGCGTCCGACTCTTCTCAGGGCGAGAGTGGGAGGTCACTCGGCTTTGTTCTGGACTCGGGGAGATCGCTCGTTCGGCTCTTCATCGAGCGTCTTGCTTTACAGAGAAAACGCGCGAAAGGAAAGTGGCGAACATGGTCGCGTGCGAACATGATCGTCGCCGTCCGTTTCTCTCGTCTTGTCCCGGCTATTTTTCTTTAATTCGTCCGAACGATCAGAGTGTCATCCTTGCCGGCGTCGTCGACGTTGTCGTCGCGTTAAAAGCGTTTATTTACGTTCGTCAGTATCGACATTAACCTTTTAAACGATGCGGTCGCGCATATACACGGCTATCGCACCCGCCATTCATATTTGTTTTTATCCGCGTCCACGGCGCGTGCACGGAAATATCTTCGAGCGGGAACGGCTGGACGCGATACGGTTTTATGAGCCACATGTTCTCGCAATATACGCGCGGATACAAATGGCGGCTTGGATCAGGTGAGCCGTGAAACTTTGCAGCGCATCGCGCGCGAGAAGAGAATCCCTCTTCTTCTCTCTCTCTCTCTCTCTCTCTCTCTCTCTCTCTCTCTCTTTCTCTTGCTCCACCCGGGGCCCAGCAAAAGCGAAATTGTTCGTGTCGTTTCTTTTGCGATATCTCGATATCGCGATATGAATGGCCGCGGGAAAAAGAGAGCAGGTAGTAGATCCACGCCGCCAGACCTTACAGATGGCGGCCCCGAGAGTGGCGTTAAGTGGAGGAAGTCGTGCGAGCGCAGTTCACGAGGAAAAGCAGAAAATTGCGAGGATCTGGTGTCGTCGCGTGGGTTACCGTTGCTCTTTAGCGTGCGATCGCTGTCGCCCCTTTTGCTCCTTTTGCAATTTTCTTACGACGCGAAACAATTTTAGATGATCGATTTCCCCCGTCCCTCGACGCTTCTGGAAAAGCTCTATGGGAACGGCGAGTTGGAGCAATGTATCTCGGCTCTTTGAGTGAGCCAACCGTTCCTATGTCCGGATACGCACTTGATACGGGACCATTCTTACTGTCCAACCGAGGAAAAAATATGTTTGTCATTTGTATAACTACAATCACGAAATAATCACCATAAGAAAATCTTTTTTTTTTTATTAAATTCTACTGTTATATCGGTGATAATCTTTCACGCATGTTACTACTACCATTTTTGTGTGTAGAACAACCACAAAATATGATGAGGACTAAAAATAACTTTAACTTTAATTCAGTCATTTTTTTCTCTATGCAAGTTCCAAAACGTTCTTTTTCTGGGAAAGCTCATTTCTTTCTCGAGGACAATTTCACTGAAGATCTATGCTGCATGTTACACAATGGATTTTAAATAGACTTTGCCTCAATAAGGACGTTTTGGCACGCAAGCTTGGCCTTTAAATACGAATATTTAGAGACCAAAGCAACAGAGATATCCAGGATTAAGTACGTGGCCGAAGGAGAATTGGTGTTTTCCTCTCGCAACCAGCTTCGAGACACGTTCTGCAACGAAGTGTTCGCGATGTCTCGCGGATTCTCTCTGTTTCTCGGGACACATCAGCGGCGCGTTGACGAAGGAAAGACGACAACGGACCGTCAAATTCGCATCTGTTCGTCTCGTGGCGCAGTTAGTCCACTTCTGCTGATTCCGCGTGTTGCGAAATCGGGCTTGCGAAACGTTCCGCGATAGGAAGGTTTCGCGACGAACTTGAGACAGCGGCTCACCACTCCGCGGAATACATTCTTTTCCGATAGCCGTTGCAGTCCGTCCCGCCGCGCGCTGCCAATGCCACGCGAGCTGTACACTCCAGAGTGGAGGACTGATAAGCATGCAAAGTCGACGGTATCGCGAGCAAGGGTCATTTCTTTCCGAGACGTCGATGAGTCAGTCGCGAAGACAGAAATAACGGTCGGCGCGCACGGACGATGAGAAATAAAACGACGGGAATAAAGAAAAAGAACGCGATAACCGACCAACGCGTATACGAGCGAACGAAGTGCACTAAAGAGAGACAGAGAGAGAGAGAGAGAGAGAGAGAAAGAGGACGAGAGGGAGAGAGAGAGAAAGACCGTACGTTCGTTCCGCTCCAATTTTGAAATACGGGATACGATCTATCATCCTTGAAAATTGGAGTAAAAGCTCCGCCTTCTTTTTTTTTTAGTCCGCCAGTATTTGCAGCGTTTCCGTCGGGGTATGATACATTAAAACAAGCCATCGAACGCATGATAAATCGGACGTTTTACATCGCCATCCTCTGGCGCCGCGCGATACGAAAAAAGAACAGGCGAATTTCGATAATACGCAGCGCGACAGCGAGTGTCACGGCTATATGGGGTGTTCTGAAATTAGCGACAATTCGCACGGGTGCATTCTTTCGGCGATTTAATTGGACGGAACCATCGGTGTCACTAGGGTTCTCCCCTGTTTTTTCTCGCGCTGCTGCTTCGCGAACGTACGGCGGGCAGGGAGAGGCGACGGAAAATGATGTGCTCGTCGTGTTTATAAAGCGGCATATCGACAGTGCTTTTGGCGCGCTCTCGAAAAGAGCCACGAGAGAGAGAGAGAGAGAGAGAGATACAAGTTTATTCTTCTGAGCGTCTCGGCCTCAACTCAACTCTCATTCTTGAGAGTTGACAGTTGTGCGGATATTGAATCGCATAAATGAACAAGTGAACGATAATCAGCCTTCTTTCTGTCCCTGCGTCCTCCCGTCGTCTCTTATCCGGACGACTTTCGCCGAATAAACGGCCATCACCATCGATTATGTCACCACGTCTTATGTCACCGCGTCATCGGCATTTTAATTAAGCCGTCTATTTATGCGTGTGTATATTCATAAGCTCGCGAGCGCGTGCATGTGAGACCGTTGACCTCGAGTCGCGCCTGAATATCCCCGTGATCGAAACAGGATCAGCAACCGTGCATCCTGCGGACTCTCGAGTCCTAGACGCGGGTCGGCCCGAACGCGAGGAAGATCGTCGCGTTGCGTTGCGTCGTCGGGTCCAACGAAATTTTACGTAACATGTAAATGCGGTCGCGTTGCGTGTTCCTCTTTCTCTTTTTTTTTCCTCCTCTTCTCTCCTTCTCTCTCTTTATTGCCGAAGCGGCACTTACGAAACCAGTTTCGGACGTCGGCCGGTTTTCGGTCTCTCTCGCGGCCGACAAATTTCGTCCCTTCCACTACGAGAGACGAGAGCGCGCCGAAAGGAGGCCCCCAAGTTCAGAAATATTATCACGCTGTCGCCAAAGCGAGACGACGGCGGCGGCTCTCCTGTGTGTCAGTAAAATCCCCCGCGGCTTCCCTCCCTTGCGCGCTCCTTCAGCCACCCTCGCGCGTGTGGGGGCAAAACTGATAGAAGAAGAAGATAGATAGACAGAGAGGAGAGAGAGAGAGAGAGAGAGAGAGAAAGGGAGAAGAAGAGAGCTCGGCTTCGAGAGCTCCTTGGCGAATTTCGTCACGCGCGCCGAAGGGACGCGCCGGCTGGTTCTTGCATTTGTATTCGTTGCGCAAGGTCCGGTCGCGCCCTCGTTCCTTAAACAGTATAATTTG